AGAAATAGGTTAGGTTCAGCGTATGTTTGCATTCAGAATAATAATTCAGAACAAAACTGAACAGGAAACAAAGAATGCCCTGCTGCCGTGAGTGACGAGGATTGAGGGAGGAGAGAATTGGACCTTGATCACTCTTGCCTGCCTGCGCATGGACTCTGATCGTTTTTGCCCGTTAGCTCCAATCTTTTCCCTGTTATAATTCAGTGACTATGACCTTTCTTGCCAAAACGATGTTACAGGGAAATACTGTCTCCAATAATTTACACGTTCCCACTGTAACCTATGTTTGGCATTAAAATGGACTTTAATCGTTCTTCCCCGTGGCCCTTCATATAATATATATGAGATTTTATAGATATCTATGGGCCAGTTGAAGAGCCAGGTGGATATGCAAACGCAGGTAGAGGAAGTTGAGCTTGCTCAATCTGCTCAACTGCATCTAGACTATATTTCTTCTCTACCTCTAATACAGACCTCTCCACAAAGATTTTGAATTCATCTTGGGTCATATTATGTTGATCATGTCCACCGGCTGACAGTACCACTAGCCTTTGTCTTAGTGTGAGATACTCTTCCACAAAAGATCTTATTCTCTCGTGGGTGGGGCTGTCATCATAGAAATAATTATTGAACGTGGTACTCTCCATTTGGGCTATTTTTACTGCAATCGTATGGCAACTGAGAATAGTCTCCTGTTGGTAAGTGCACTGTGATCAGCATCATAGAATATCTTGAAAAATGGACGCACTTCCTCTGAGACTGTTCTCAATGTCTGCATCGCGCTAATAAATCTGGGTGTGAGATCCCTTAATAACACAGTTCAGGATATTGGGCAAATATATATTTATTCTATCAGGACAAGATGTTATGTTTTATCACAATATAATATATTGTGATAAAATGGTAATAAAACAATGGACTTACATAGTTCTTTTTTTTCTTGGTTGCTCATTTCTTCCTTCTCTTGAAAAATAATCACCAATTCGTCCCAACATTTAATTTTCAAGTTGCGATCCGAATAATCTTTTGAGGCACTATTCCACAAACATGGCCGATTTTCGATTTCCACAATGAATCTTTCAGTGTCGAAACTCATTTTGCTTCCGGGCGTTCTACTTGGCCACTGGTTGGCGACTGAGTGAGTGACGGTGCATAAACTGGACCGTAAATTACTGGCGACGCCGCCTGGTGGCCAGGGGAGCCAGTCTACACAAGAGTAGCAGTCGACAGTGGCGACGCCTCCAATTCTAGGCCGTCGCCAAGGGGTAGCCACGTGAGGTACCTCTCATTCATTTTAAACGAGTTAGCTAGAAGCGTCGCTGGCTACGTCACCATGGCGTCCCGGTGAGGTATGGCCCTTACTTTCTTAATCCTAATATCAAATTGAAAATAAACATTCACTTATGCTTTNTGAGGTATGGCCCTTAACATCTTGAGCGATCATCAATATGGCTTCTGACCTTCTATCGTATGTTACCCATATTTGGAATAACGCAATCGAACGTTCCCTGCAAATGGCAGTCGATGGATATCTCTCGAATACTTTCACCATCAACGCGGGTGTTCCCCAGGGATCCATATTGTCTCCAACTCCCTTTTTATTGTTAATCAACGACTTATTGGTGAAAAAACAAAAATCCAATATATTACTTTGCTGACGACAGCATACTTGTCTCGTCATTCCATTTGGACTCCAGGATATCAGCTGCGGATGCATCGGCAGCAAGAGGTTGCATATCTCAAGTGATTTCGAATTAGGATGGAACTAACCAATTCAATGCCAAAAAAATCCACTTTAATGTCGTTTCATGTTTCGTTTGTTTGAAGGAGAATTTAATTAAATTCGAAACGTCGGGAAGGAAACAATTGTTTTCTTGAGAAAAAATTGATCCTGTTACCCAACAAACTTTTTCTTCAGAAAAAATATTGTACCTACCATCAAACTAGCAAGAGGAATTATTTATGGTTGAAAGTTTCAAATTGACATTTTATATTCTGGAAATAACATTCGATTAACGTTTGTTTGATAATGGTTGATAATGTTTCATGGTGAATTGAACTAGTTCGGACTTCCATTGTCTAATATGATTCTGATATGACTCAAAATCTATGGAAGAATGAATAAAATTAGAATGAATAGCTGAAATTTCAAATATATTGTGGAATTGGCCGAGGTGGTAGTGCGCCCGACTCACAATCGGAAGACCGNCTTGGCTGAATGCTTCGTTGGACAACATATATGCAGCTTCTTTGAACTTTCTCTCCAAACAGTGTTCCTCCCTATAGATGATCTCAGCTTGGGATAACTCAATATTGATGTTATTCCCGAGTTGCTGTGTGTTTCACTTGTGCTCGGTAATGCGGACTTTCAATGGCCTCTTAGTTTCACCGACATGGTATTTGACGGACTCATAGGGTCCGCGTCTGGTGGCATGGTTTTCATGAGGTTACTACGGATGGTGTTTCTGGATCTGAAGCAGGTTCTGATGTTGTACTTGATCCCAATTTTTATTATCCTTTTCGACAATCATCTGACGTAGGAGAGGGTAAGCACTGGTTGTGATGGCTTTTCTTACTTCTGAGGCTCTTGCTGTCTTCTAGCCAAAGTCTGCTTCACTATCACTTTGAAGTAACCATTCCGTTGAAGATCTTTTTTGATGATGCTTAGCTTACCAAGATGCATAGATTTCGAATCCTATTAGAATCATATCAGACAATGAAAGTCCGAACCAGTAAAATTCAACAGTGGATTAAATCACCAGAAAACTCAGTTTCTGTCGAAAATAGCAGCAAAAACAATTCGTAATTTGGAAGGACAGCCCCATGACTGAAATGTGGGACCAGAACAAAACATTTACATCAATCGTTTTCTACCTTGCCAGAAATGAAACAGAGGCAGCAGGAGAGTTTTCTCTGCAACACGAAACAACAGATCTATTATCTTTATTATCTTCCTGCAGAAGCTCAAAATAGGGATGTTTCCAGCAAACGACCCTCTTCCTAATTGTTTGAAAGCTTTTATGCCTACCTTGCTCGCACAGAACGTCTTTTCAGTTGATTTATGATTCACTAGCCGAAGAAAGATTCATTTTTCAGCAGTGGTGGTCGATGAATAATTGTCTTCTCGAGATATTATGTCGATTTGTACTTTAATTTAGATTTGTTTTTATCCAGAAAGTATTACAAAGTGCTACTGTTTTCGAACTAGATCATAATAATGATAACTTTATGTATTCATTTGAAAGGTTTCACATAAAATAATAATAATAGTTGAATAAATAAAAATGCAGAAACAATTGCTTCGTATAACAGGAACAATAATATTTCAAAAATTTATTAAAACACAGATATGATATATAGATATGAAGTTAAACCTATAACATCAATAATAGTAAAGAGGATATACAGGGTGTAACTAAATAAGTGTTAAACATTAAGGGAAGTTTTCCTCATCGAAAAAAAAATAGCATCTTTCATATGAAAGAAATTTCATTGAAGCATCCCGTGTTAAGATACAGCCCCTTAAAGGGGGTACATAAAATTTGTATAACAATTTTTTTCACAAGCACTAAAAAAGTTACAATATCGAAGTTAACCTGATGTTTTGTACTACCAAAAAGACACTTAGCCAGAAATTTATTTGGTTTACCCCATGGTTGTAAGGGGTGGAAAACGCAACCCCTAAAATTTATTTCCAATGTACCTTTTTGTCTTGTTATTTGTTTACCTTCTAAAAATTCATTTCCGATAGCCTGTTTCATTCTAAACAAAAAATTAATATTAATAAACAAATCGGTTATAACAATGGCGATCCTATTCAATTAATTGACGAAGTTTATCACCGTTACGTCACTAAATCTATCAAACAAGAGCTTATGGTGTCCCTTGTCGTTCTCTACCATTCTACCATTTTTTTATTTCATTTCTTGGCAAATTCTCAACTAAAAACTTGGTGCATATGAAAACATTGATATAACTGTTACGAATAATTTCAGTCGTCTCCTAATGAAGCTAACTAGGTTTGCGATACGCGAGTCGAAGAACAGCATTTCGGTTGTGGTATGCTATGTTATGCTAAAATTGAGTTACAAATTGTATTATCATTCACGTATACAAAATAATATAGAACATACAATCTAGCCCTTGGTTCATACACGGCCTCAGAATGTATTGATCAATTCATTTATTGATTCGAATCATCAACTATTAGTTTGTTTCAGAAAATTTGTCCGTTTCAATGACATGTGTTTTTGTAGTTCCATATCTCAGTAAATATTTATTCTACTGTATACAGATCGATAGAGAATTTTGTACTCTATAATGTCTTCGAATTCATACTGAGTCAGTATCATCGGCAAAAGGTGATATTGATTTTGTACCTAAATGTTGAGGTAAATCATTGATATAAATCAGAAAAATCAATGGTCCCAAAACTGAGCCCTGTGGAACTCCAATGTCTAGGTTGAATGTAACAGAGTACGTACCATCCCATGTCCAATATAAATGTGATATTACCCATGCAAAAAATGTCCCTCTAATACCTATTTCATATAATTTGTTCGTAAGTATATCAAAATCTATGGAGTCGAATGCCTTGGATGAGTCAAAGAAAAGCGCAGCTACAAATTCACCTTTGTAATAACTACTTATATTATATTTTTGCTTCATATAATCATTAGAGGTTCATTGAGTATAATCTAGTCTTGCACATCGCCCTCCTAATGGAAAAGAGATGATTTTTTGCAGTTCTCCAAAATACCTCTGAGTCAATTCTTCATCTAAATATTCTGAGCATGAATCGGAAAACGACACTGCACTGGCGCAAACAGGGACATTATCCAACTCACACAAATTATCCCGTATCGTTGTAGAGTTCATCTTGAAGAGCCAACGATAGATGTTCATCAAACAAGAGCAATTCCATGGATTGACACCCATGAGGATGTTACCCACAGATACTTTGGCCATGAGACGATTTGACAGGAAATTGAAAAAATTACCACCTATTGCCAAATATTCAATTCTAAGATTGTTCGAGAACACTTCAGCTTGGATATTTGTAAGTCTGTTGTTCCTCAACCCTAGGTATTGCAGATTTTCCAGACCCTCAAATGCTCCAGGCTCGATGTTGCTGATCTCGTTGTAATCGAAATTAATCACCTTCAGCTTGGTGAAAGCTGCAAAAGTTCGCCTGAGTATGATACGGATTTTATTTTTTTGGAAATCTAGAGTTTCCAGGTTGGTGGAGCAATCGAACCATCCACTGTTGAAATAGTCGAGATTGTTGTGAGATGCGTTCACATGTTTCAAGTTGTTCAAGTTAGAGAAAGCTTGGTTTTCGATCCAATCGATTTCATTGTAATGTATGGATAGATTTTTCAGTTTTGGAGTCACCTGGAACAAGCCTACAAAAGAAGAGAAATGAAATTTCACCTCAGAAGAAAACAACAAACGGTTTATTACATGATGTGTTATTCTGATGATGCTCCCAAATGTGAGCAATTTTAGAATAAAATCAATTACTCTTCGAAAGCATGAAGTTTAGTTGTTGAGTTCATCATAATTAACAAATTCCTTTCTCATCGCACTAACACTACGAGAGACTGAATTGAAGATGTGAATCGGCCGTCTTTCTGCTTGGTGGCTCCAATCGTAGTTGGTTAATGCGCCTGTCCAGTGAACAAGATAGCTAGATTAGAGTCCCAATCGGTTCTGGACATAGATTTCGGTTTTTGTTGCTGAAAGGTGTACAAACTAGAATATAACATGCAGGCATTTCTCTTCAATACAGTGCACAATGTAGGCATCTCTTTATCTACCAGGGTATACGAATATTGAACCCAATGATCAGTTATTCCAGAGCATGAGGTTAATAATGCTGCGAATGTATTGAAGTTTTATCAAAGATGCATATCCAACACATTGGTACCAACTTCGACTTGACAGCAAATGAAATCAAAAACAATCTCATATCAGTTAATAATTTGAATAAAAAACACGTTCGGTTTCGCTAGAAATACAAATAGTGTTGAGAACTTTTGTTATTAAACTAGTCACAAACTCAGATAACTTTTGATGCACTGGAGTTCTTTCCCAACACCAAAACGTTATTTTCAACACCTCGACATGTGTTTCGATCACCAAGTGATCATCTTCAAAGAGGAAGATCAAAACTGTTTCAAAAGTGATCATCCTCAAAGAAAAAGATTAAAACTGTTTGAAAAGTTTTAATCTTCCTCTTTGAAAATGATCACTTGGTGATCAAAACGAGTGTTTCAAAGAATCTTTTGGAATTCAAATTGAACTATATCAACTATTCAACTATTTCAATATTATCGAGAGGGAACTACCTGAAAATCAACTTTCAAATGAGATTGCAAGATATCATAAAACTAAAAATTTCAATACTATACAGGGTGATCTCCACCCCCCATTATACAGAGTGAGTTTGGAATGATGTCATCAATTTCAGGTGGTAACGCAAGTTTTACTAAAAATATTGTTATTTATTAAGAACTACGTATGTTTGTTACGAGTAAGAAGGGGCATTTTTTCGTGATATTAGATTTAAAATTTTCATATCAGTATCATCGTCAAGGGTTACTTGATTGATATGTTTGTTATAATCATTGTTTTCGATAATATCGAAATTGTTTGTTAATAAATTCAATGCCACAAAAATCCAGCCAGTGTGAAAAAAGGCTAAACTGTTGAAATGCTTAACAAATAAACAGTGGGGCGCAGATGGTAGGACATTATTGACTTTATATAGAACTTTAATAAGGTTAAAATTAGACTAGTCACTCCCACTACAAAAGCAAATATTCCATTTCAAGAACGAAAAATTCTTCCCCTCAACCTCATACAGATGCACGAACTTTCACAAATCCAATCCAAACTTTCAAAAATAACTCCTCCATGGCGTATTCCCTTACCGAATATAAATACTCAGCTACTATCCATGAGCAAAGCAACCACAAATCCCCAGCTGATCCAGGCTGATTACCAAATTATAATGTCTTAATACCCACTTCACCAGAAAATTTTCACTGACGCCTCAAAAACAACTCGTGGTTTAGGACGTGCATTCGTAACGAAAGAGACCGCCTGTAAATTTTCTTTACATGAATCTGCCACTATTCTCACTGGAGAACTTTATGCCATCTATAAAGCTCTTTCCTTTATGAAAATGGCACCTGGTAAAGAGTTTTTGATAATTACGGACTCTCTCAACTCCCTTATTTCCTTGTCGAAAATATATACCCATCACTTACTGGTAAATATGAT